TGTAAGCGAACTCCAATAAGGTAGATCCCAGAAAATACTCCGTTTATACCAGTTATATCAATCACCAAATCCTTTGCACTTCTTATGCCCAAAATTACCTCCACATTGCACAGAAGCTTGCAAATCATCTAAATATCCACTATTTATTCGCTCAGAATAAATTTGCTCTCCGGTTTGCATAACAGGTCCTTCCTCTGTAAAAAAAAAAGGAAACTCTCTCTCCGATGGGAGAGAATTAACGGTAATTCCATTTTTTAAAATAAAAAAGGAAACATGGCAGGGTAACGCTCTTATTGGGCAGAAACCAATGGTGGGTTTTTTTCATCTTCTTTTGGGCCTTTAGGGCTCGGCCCATTTAATGAGTTGCAGAAATTTGACAGAATTTATTTGGGTAAATGACTAATAATATATATAATCACAAAAATTGGGTTTTCAGGGTAATTAATGCATTGGGATAGGAACTCCCAGTTCTTTACCACATACAGATTTTTTTATTAATTCCTATAAAAATACATTAATTTTATATAAAAAAAAAACTCTAAATTTCTATACACCGTTAATTCTGTAACGAATTTAAAAAAATAAAAAGAAAACTAAAAATGAAAATTGTATATATCTGTGTATGTGTATTTATATATTTGAATGTTTTAAACTTTTCTTTTTCTTTTTACATGGACGGATCTATTTATGTAATAAGGTCACATGCCCCATATAATTAATTAAAATTAGTTAATTTCTTCATAAACTTTATAAATTTTCAAATAAAATTGATAAATGCCTCTAATAAAATTCAGTTTATCCTTATAAAATTATACATATATTACTATTGTCCCACTTATAAAAAATTATATATATAATTTTTTAAATTGTTCTCTATTTAATACAAAATAAGCATAAACACATGTATTCACAAACACATTAAATGATCTATTGATATACGAAGATTTAAAAAACAAAACATAAAATTAAAAGTGAAATTTCAGCGGAGGCCTAAGTTCACCGGGAGAGCATTTCTCAGCTTGCCGAGTGCCGAGGAGACCATCTCCTCGACGGCGTTGACCATCTCATCGGAGACGCCGCCAGTCAACGCCGCATCGCCGGCAACCATCTGAAACCCTGCCGTCACGACGCACCACTCGTCTCCGCCGCTCCGGGAACTTCCGGCCTCCGCCTCCGCCTCCGCCGTGCCCACCTGACAACCCGGCATTATCGTGTGTGGCAGCGATGGCGGCCGCTTCCAGGTCCACAGCGGAGTGGATCACCATCGTCGCCGACGCCTCGTGGTATGTTTCTTGGAGCACATACTTCTCGTTTGCTCCACTAGAATTGCCCTGCAGTACGTTAATCTCCGGTTATCTCACAGAACAGGTTCAGTTTGGTTTGAATTCGATTAAACCGGATTGGTAAAGAATACGCTAACCATTCGCCGAGATAGGTTAACCAAGTTGCGTTTAGCGAGTGGGCTCAATTCTGCAACACACCCAGCGTTAGATCAGCAAGAACCGGTCAAGATCAAACCAGAAGAAAACCGGAATTTTTTTTTTACCTCTTATCGTCGAGGAGCTAAAGCCGCTGCGTTGTAGAGCGGCTAACCATCTGTGAGCCCCGAAGCCTAAGCCGGTTCTGAGATATGACCTGAACCGGGTTACAACCGCGTCCTCTTTATAGCCCCAGTGCTCTACAACGGTCACCTGCATGTGCAAATCAATCATGTCAAAATTGGTAAAGCAATTAATGTATGGAATCTTCTTGTTTTGGTTAGGCAATTAATGCGGTCAAAACCGACATTAAACACATTAGGATATGCATTAAATACCTTTGAGAAGTCATTGGCTAAGCGTTGAATAACGTATCCAGAAGGAAATCTGATGAATGCTGGCCGTGGATTCGGGTGATGTAACCTGAGACAGGGCGAGACATCGGCCACGACCCATGTGTTCCGGTCCATTTGCTTGACGCATCTCAGTAGCTTCACCTCCCGGGTCGAGACCAACGGTGAAACAACCGGCATAAATTCCACTTTTACCTACGAAACAAAAACAAACCTTATATGGAAATTCCGTACAAATCATATGATTTTTTTTATAAATAGGATGGTTCATCGGGCATGCATCTACCCTAAACTCGGGATCATTTGTATATAGACCATTTTGGTCCAGAAATTAGATCCCTCCCCACCAGTGGTATCGAACCCAGAACTTTGAGGATGACTTTGTTACCTCTCAGTCACTGGGTCACCAACGGTTAGATTACAAATTATATGATATTAGTGGGAATTATTTTATTACGTGTAATATTAATCACAAAAAATAAAATAAAAATGGATTCAACATATATACCACTTGAAGAATCCTGTTTCTTGCTTCGATTGAGGAACTTGCAATCATCGATGGAAAAATCTCGACCCAACGGCTCTAAAAAAACACAGAAAAAAAAACATAACCAAAACCACAATATAACATAACTTGTAACACAAGAAAGACCACATCCATTTTTTTTATAAAATTTAAGTGTATTAAAAATCAAAACCATTACCGGATTCGCAAAATTTCTCAAAAGGGACGGAGCATCAATAGCCACAAGCCCTGTCGCACATGACGCCTCGTGAACGAATTCCTCCACGTTGCTTTGCTCGCAAGGCAAGAAACGCGTGTAATACATTTCTAGGTTTAGGGTTTCGCTCCCTCCATCTCCGTCTCTGCTCCACGCCGGCTCCTCGGCCCTCGCCAAACGGGTCACCTCGTTCGCAGAATCAGTGGTTAGAGCCAACACATCGATCCACCGTGCAGTCATGGCCAAGGAAGAAGAAGAGGAGGAGGCACCATGGTTGGTCGAGACCCGGTTGGGGGACCACCACAAGTAACGAGCAGCTAATCGTTGCATCCGCTGGATTTCGGCACAGATCATCTGGTTCTCGTGTCGAAGCTGTTCTTCCATCATTGCCACGTCGGGTTGGACCGCAGGTCTGTTGCATGAGCTGCAAGGGGGACACAACATCGTTTGTCGAAGGGCTGTGTTCTCAGCCCTAAGTGCTGCATTTTCTTGCTCGAGAAACAACCTTATTTGTCTGTTCATTTTGATCTGAACCATCACAGACAAAAATATATATATATATATCAAAAGAACATCTGGTAAGGTGAAATTTATGAATAATTATTTTTTCTGATTTCAAAGTTCGTAAAAAGATTACAATCATATATGTTAACATTGGTTAGGGTTTTACCTGAAAATTTCTTAGATGGATGATATTACAATTACTTCTTCCACTTTATGTCAAGTATTCCTTCGCCTGCAAATCTTACTTAGCTTGTTTGAAACTTTCGGGGAGGTAAAAATCAGAACGATGTTGATTTTTTTTCAATTGCTGTAGAAATCATTTTCTGAATCTAATTTAAATAGGCAATTTTACAAAGATATTTATTTTTAAAAAAAGACTAGAATACAATAAAAATTAATGAGAATTTATTACAACAATTTGAACCGAGATTCGCCATGAATATAAAATAAAGTATTTAACAAATTCGAACTTTGTTTTCATCGAAACATTTTAAAATATAAATAATTTTGTATTTATCAGATCGTAAACGTACGATTTATACTTTTTTATCTTAAAAATATCATGCTGTCTATTTTATTTTTATCTATTTAAAATTACAAATATTTTAAAACTATACGAGATTAATGATATTTTAAAAAAAAAATTATATTTTTTTCTTAATATTTTTGTGAAAAAAAATTTAGAAATTATTGAAAAATCGTATATTTAAATTGATATTAGCATATAATATGATTTGTTAAATAAAACATATTTCTAATATGTGATTTTTTGGAGTACAAATAAAGAATATTGTTTTGAAAAGTATAAACTAATAATGTCATTTTTTTTTATCCAATGTATGAATTTCAAATATTAGACTAATGAGTTCATATAAAATATTTTAAAAAATTAAATAATTATATTATATTTTTAAAAAGTTAAAAAGTCTATTTATAAATATCTTTAAAGTTTAAAAGTAAAAATTATAAACTCGTATTAAAAATTGAGGGTATGAGAGAAAATAAAAATAATAGTAAAATATATAATAAGATTTATAAAGAAAATGTATATTAATATTTATAAATAAATTGATAAATTAAAATATTTATAATATAAATAAATTTATAATTATATATTGATATATATTAAATAAAAAAAATGAAGGTTTACCTTAAAAACTATTTTGTACGTGTAAAATTTAGCCTTTATAATTTCTTTTCAAATTTGATTTAAATAACAAATTTTGTTTGATGTTATTTTTGTAAAAATGAATAAAACTATATTAATAGAAATTTATTAAAGTGGGTTCAGACTAAATTTGCTCACTATTTAACTTAGAATAAATTTATGATATTTTTTTTAAAATGTATAGTTTCTATATATATAATATGAATTTGATAACTTTAAACAACAATGTAATGTTTATTTGATAAATAATAAAAAAATGTCAACAAAAATTTAAATTGATATATAAATAACAATTTTAAACAATAATAAATGAATAGGAAAAGATTCATAAAAATTTATTACTAATGAGTTCATAATAAATTCGCTCAATAATCACCTTATAATGAATTTATTATATTTAAAAAATCATAATATATATATATAAACTTAACAATTTTAAACAATAATATTTGATATAATAATAAAAATAAAAAATAGATTTTCCAAAATGTTTAAAAATTTTAGAATAAAATATTGAATTAATCTCTATCTTTGTTTTCGTCGAATCTTTTTAAACCAAATATAAATATAAATAAAATATTTATTAATTTTATAATTATCGTATAAATAATTTATAGAATAATATACATTCAAAATCTTTTAATATGCTAAAAATCCAAAAACTAATTCATAATTTTAAAATATTATAATAATATTTATTTTTTCTCTAAAAAATTTTCAAAAACTAATTTATAAAATATTGATAAATAGTACACTTCGAAAAAAATTTCGTTTGAGATAATTTTTTATACATTTAATGTATCTAGTTGAACAATCGTAGAATTATATCTATAAATTCTATGAAATGCAAACTATATTTCTTATTTATCAAACTCCGAAATTTTCTATTACAACCAATTTTATTTAATAATACATGAAATCATTAATAAAAAATAGTTTAAAGGGAGCAAGATTACCTCAATGAAATCTTTCAAACTTAAAGAACTGAGGATTGATCAACTAGAAAAGAATTGAGATAGAAATAAAAGATTATGATAAGATGATTGTATAGAAAAATATATACGGTATTTATAAATAAAATTGATAGGACGGTTTATAATTATCTAAATAATTTTATTATTATTATTATTATTATTATTACATATTGTCGATAATATGGTATAAAATTAATTTACCGGCGCTACAAAATTTATTAAACTTCCAAATTAAATTTTCGGTATTTGAAACCATAAAATTGATAATAAATTTATATTTGACGTGATATATATTCAAAAACACGTGTCAACAATATAAACAGATATGTAAACTCATAACTCTAAGACCATCTTTTGATTCAATCTATATCTTATGGTTTGTTTATAATTGTGTTTTCAACTTCTATAAAAAATGTATTATAGACTCATCTATAATGAGTAAAGGATACGCCATACCTACGCGTACCCGATATTTTTATGTCAATTTCGAGTTTATAATGCTAGAGTTTTTTTTTTGTTGCCAAGAATACTCGCTCTCAATCTCGTGATGGTTTGACATCCAAATTTAGAGTATCCGAGAGATATGGTGTGGTGGTTTGGGTATCCACGGGATATTCGGTCGATGAGGGACGACTGATGAGGTCGTAACGGAGATCGAGTTAAGCATCCGAACTCGTACTTATGGTGACTCGAGCTCCCGAATTTCAAATACCCGTAAAACCTACAAACTCGCGGCATCGCGTCTAACGCTTATAATAAATCGTGGGCTAAACGAATCTGTCTATACGGGCCACGAGTCAACCCGTAGACTTGAAAACCCTAAACCCAAGTCGTCTCTTGTCTCACGTGCGAGTCATGTGATCTAACTATCATTCATATTGATTTTGGCTTCCATTCTAGTTTCCAACCGACTATGAGTCGTTTTGTTTAGGGTCATCAAGTAATTGGTATATATGGAAATAATTTTAACTTTATTAACTTAAATAATCAAATTGCAAATCCCACGTAATTACTATTAGTGAGAAGAGTGCGTCAAATTTGGAATACTATTTATTGGCCTCCTTTCCCAGTTATATAAATCATGTACAAATTTATAAAAAATAATGAAATTTTTTATTACAAAAAATGGATTAGGTTTTGTATTATGTGAGTTGATTTACAACTGAGTTCAAACCCAAGTGTGGGAATGGGTATTCACCTGGACTTCCCCGATCCTGTGGAAGATATAATCGAGCCAAAGGTCCGGTGAATTTCCGGATTATAAAAAAAATGTATATTATTTGCCACATAATCAAATTTGGAGATGAGGAAATGGATGGGAAATGTCTTTTTCTCGTTGTCCCTCCCTTAGAGCCATCTTATTGTCACGACATCTTTATATGCCGCAAAGTAATTCCAAATTGTTTCAAATAATTAAACAGAAAAATTGTTTCAAATAATCGACACCACATATTTCTGATTGCATGTGTGTCTGTGTGCGTATATATATAACATAATCACAGATATAATGTAAGTCACGAAAAATAAAAATATAATTGTGGTCGAAATAATATCAGAAATTCGCTGTTTTTCCCTTTTTTGTATTTAATTTAATTTCGAGAAATCCATAAGCATTTCAAAAAATGGGAAAAAAAAACCATGAAAACGTGCTTTGAGAGAACGACGCGGGAATCTAGCGGACGTCAGCTACAGATCTAATCCACTGTACCTGAGAACACGGAAACCAAAAGATATATCCAATGTAAATGCGACACGTGTAAAAGCAGTAAACACGTACACGTGGAGCAGTTTGTGGGGGAGAGCCCACTTTCTCTCCCACTCTCGGGAATGCATTTACCCAACTCACCCACTCTCACCCATCTAAAATCCCGTTTTCACTCCGTATCCGAAAAAAATCGCAATAGACAGAGCGGGAGCGATTCAGAGCTATGCCGGCGACCGATGATCTGGAGAGCCGGATTCCGGCAAAGAACAGAGGGATCGGAAGCGAAAGCGCCGGAGTGATCCGCGGTGGGCCACCTTCGGTGGCGGTGGCACCGTCGTATGTAGTGGACGAGGAGGCGGAGATGCAGTGGACGTCGTGGCTTGTGCCGATGTTTGTGGTGGCGAATATTTCGGTCTTCATCGTGGTGATGTACGTCAACAACTGCCCGAAGCACGCTAAGTCCCACCGTCTCGACGGGGACTGCTGGGGGAGATGTGCCTTCGAGCCTCTTCGGGCTAATCCCCTCTTCGGTCCGTCTTCTCGCACGTACGTCTCATATGCATCTTCTTTTTTCCTGACTGAATTAGAGTGGTTTGCTCTTTTGGGGCGTTTTATGCTTCTTATTGCAGGTGATTCATGTTCTGTTCATGGTTTTTGGATTATGCGATTAGTTTTACTTGATGGGCTGGTGAATTACCTGAATTGAATATCCAGGAGTGATTGAACTCGAACTCATGAGTTCTTCAAAACCTGTGTATAACTAAGGCCATACCCATAATGATAGTGTTGTGTGCAGAAGGTGGAAGGTGGAATATTATCGAACTGTCCCCATAGAAGTTTTCTTGTGGAAAATTCTGTGAATTAGCTTTCAGGAATAGTAATCCGAAAGTATCAACTTTGAATCCATACCTTTTAGAAGTTTGGTATTCATGTTTGTGTTGTGTATACCAAACTTTACTGGTGAAATCAACATCTCACCTGCCAAAGTTCCCTTGCAGGAGATTTTGATGAATGTGTGTGGATTGGTTAGGATCATTGAATTCCGATAGTTCTTAACACTGCAACTCTTAGGTCTTCTGGATTGGCTTGAAACTTAGTTCGAATATGCCTCTGTTTTTTTCTTCTTCTGAATTTGCTTGACTGATTAGGATAGTCAGTTTCATTGGTAAATTGATTGGATCTTTCCTCCATGCATCTTTTGCTTTCTTGCTGTTGGGTATATTCAATGTTCTTCTTTTATAGATTTCTCTGCCAATTGAAATGAGGAAGACCTTGAATCATCATTTTTTGCAACAATGTTTTGACATTGTTTGGTATGTTTTATCTTTGTTTTTTTATTAAAGATTGGAGAAGTTGGGAGCGCTCGAATGGAGTAAAGTCGTGGAAAAACATCAAGGTTGGCGACTTGTGACATGTGTATGGTTGCATGCTGGTGTTATCCATCTTCTTGCAAATATGCTAAGCCTGGTTTTCATCGGCATTCGCCTTGAGCAGCAATTTGGTTTTGGTATGCATGCTTCTCCTCCTCACCCTAAAAAAGGAGAGTAAATGTTGAGTTTGATGAAACGGGGAATAATCAAATCTGAAATTTTGTTGAGGATGTTACCAAAAGTCTGAAACTTTGTTCTATATCTGCAGTTAAGATCGGGGCTATATACCTAGTGTCAGGATTTGGTGGGAGTGTATTATCGTCACTGTTTATCAGAAACTATATCTCGGTGGGAGCCTCTGGTGCGCTGTTTGGCCTTCTCGGCTCAATGCTTTCCGAGCTATTAACGAATTGGACAATCTATACCAACAAGGTTATTTTCTCTACTTTGCTATTATATATCTTACACACCGGTGCAATTACCTTCTGTTCTGGTTAATGATTCTGTCTGTATGTATACTGAATCATTTCTGGACATACATATAAAAGAGTCTTGCAACACTTTTTTGTGGTAAGTAGAAGTGATGATATCTGTCTCAACCGACTGATGCAAATAGACCTTTATTATGGCTCGTTTCTACAGGTTGCAGCCCTACTTACGCTTGTGTTTATCATAGTCATAAACCTGGCCATTGGGATTTTGCCTCATGTCGATAATTTTGCTCACATTGGTGGATTTCTTGCGGGGTTCCTCCTGGGTTTTGTTCTGCTGCCTCGACCCCAGTTCGGGTGGTTAGCAAGCCGGCATATGCCACCGGGCACGCGTCTGAAGTCGAAGTACAAGCCTTACCAGTACATTCTATGGCTATTATCTTTGATCCTCTTGATTGCCGGGTAAGGAAGAACACTGCTTTTCCTTCACATTCTCGTGTTAGCATGCTGAAATTTTTGGGAAATTCCTCAAGAGAGCTTCTTCTCATATATATTCGAGATTCCGATAGATTTGAAGATATGTTATGAACTAATGTTTGTGGTTGAATATCTGTGGTTGGAAATGAATTTGGATTTCTGCCAAAAGACTGAAATTGACAGTGACACTATCCCTTCCCAAAATTCATGAGAACCAATTTCAACTCCGAAACAAAAAATCCGCATACAATTAACGACCGCTGCCGCTGGTGTCGCTACCTCAGCTGCGTTCCGACCTCAAGATGGAACTGTGACGGCAATGTCTGAATCTCGTTTTAGTTTCTGCTTTTTTTTTACTTGTAAATGCCTTCATAATCATATCTTTCTTGCCCTTTTTTTTTTATAGTCTTTGTAAGATGTGTGAGTGATTTGTTTGTGTGGTATTTCAAATCTTTTTACCCTCTCAAATTCCTTCATATTTTTAGTTCCCTAAACAATAGGTGTCATTGCCTCCCGGATGTCCATCGTTTACTTTTATGAATTATGGCTTTTATTGGGGGAGATATAATATAATATATTAATTATAAAGCTCTGTGTTTCTTATGGTAAAAGATTTGCATATTTTGTTGCAAACCCATCAAGGTTGGCCCAAAAACAACGGCGAAGTCACTGCCACCACTCGTAGCGGCTTTTGTTCCTGTGGTTGTCAGTGGACTGTGAAGTGGTGGGAACCGTTTATTTTTTTCATTCACAGAGACAACGAAAGGATTGAGGAATATCTTTGGGTGACAGACAAATTACCAAATCTTCGGAAGAGAATTGATAAGAAAGGTGAGACCAATCAAGCATCTGCGTTGTGACGAGACATCACCACGAAGAAAAAGAATCCAAACCCCCCGTGAGTTTACAGTCTCTACTATAACTTCAGAAACAGAACCCATGTTTTCAAAGACGAAACTTAGCTTGTTACTTTTTGGTGTTTTTACCGACCATTAATTGAAACCTATTGAGGTCACAGAAAATTACCACAAAAAAAAAAGAGAGAGAGAGAGGATCGACTTAATTACACATTCACTCACTGACTTCTTCTCCTTGGAACAAACAATCATATGCCCACAGAAAGAAACACACAAGAAACTGAACAAATTCTAAATCAGAAGCGAAGAATGCATCGTCATCTTTGATCTCCCGCTCGTGTTTCGATTCAACCGTTCAGACAATCCTCCTCCTTGTCCGGAGCTCCCGACATCAGACCGCTGGTCAAACGATCCTTCAGCGGCCGCGTAATAGTAGTAATGTCCCTGCACAGACCTCTTGTTGCTGTCCGCAAACTCTAGCCGTTGCCTTGGCGCGCTCTGAGATCGGACTTTCGCCCTGTATGACTCGGTATTCGCCATGTAGTTCGGGTAATAACCCGTGTAGTAGTTCCCCCCGTAGCATCCCCACGAGTACTCGGTTCTAGTTGGCGTGAAAGGGGTTCTCCTCCGTGAACCGCTGCTGCTTCCTGGTCTGGAGGAACCGACTTGAGGGCTGTTCTCTGCGCTTCTTGCAACCACCGGAGGCTGTCTCTTCCTCGGGGATTCGTTGTTGTTGTGGTGGCTGCTGTCTGAACGGAACGGTCTCGAGGCTAAGTGTGGCTTCCAAGTATCGACCTCGAGAATCTTGTCGTCCCCTTCCTCATCCTCGTTGTACCGTGGCATATGCAGGATGCTAGTGCTGCTGTTGTTTTTGTTGGTCGTCCATAGAGTTTCTTCGGACCAGTGGTCTAACCGGCTCGAACCGACTTGGGAACGGTGGTCCATGGCGATGATCTCGCGGAGCTCGGAGTTGGAGACGCAGCGTGTGTGGAGGGAACGAGGAGAGGAGGAAGAGGGGAATGAGTCGGACACGTGAGAGGCACGTGAAGCTCGAGCTCGGGCCTGAAGCCGAACCAGCGTCTGCATCCGTCGCAGCATATCGGCCGTTTGCTTTCTCACTATGTGCCCCCTCACTAACGCTTGAAGCTTCACCAACGCCTTCAACGCTCTTAACGCCCTCCTCGCCTGATTTTTTCACCATTATAACCAATTTTTTTTATATAAAAAAAAGAGATCACAAATTCACAATTCATTAGAAGAAAAAAACACACCATTGTGTGGTCAATGAGATTGAAATTTCAAGAAATGATCAAGAACACAAAAAGCCCAATTGTAACATGCACAAACTAAACAAAAGAACTTACCAAACCACACGCAAAAGAGAGAGACTTGGAAAGAGGACAATGGTCCATCATATGTTTGAAATCAAGTTGCTTGAAGATGAAACAAGGACAGAGAGACCAAAGTAGTGTACCAGACATAATCATGCTTCCCATCTAACATATAACCGAAAGGGAAAACGATCAATGGGTTAAATCATTATTTTCTATTCTACAACTTTATTTTAGTATCTCAACAACTTCCCACTACCTCTTAATTATTACCAAAAATTAATACACATTATTAAACCAATGAAAAAGTCAAACGTACACACACACACACGAGAAGATTGAACATTTTTAAGTTGTGAACACAACGATCGAGGTCGAGGACACTACATCTTGGGAACGCACATGCATTACGATGCATAAATAATTAAATTCCATCTGAGAATCTCCACACTCCCTGTCCTGAACCGAATAAAAAGAGAAATCGAAAAAAAATGCAACTTTAAAAACACAAAGTTTATCCCTTTTTTGATAAAACAGCTTTAAAAGTTGTGGGAAAACAAGAAAAGCTGCTCATAAAGCTTAAAAACACGCAATCTGTAATATACTTAATCAATCTTTTTAGTATATGGAAAACCTTCACCAACTCAGCCTTTGAAAAATAAAGAATAAAAAAAGAAAAAAAAAACTTTGCCCATACTGTACTATCTGAGCCAATTATATTACACTAACCCCTGAGTTGGATTGGTTCTAATCCGATTTCAGCTCCCATTAAGATCGGACCATGCTTTGTTTCCAAGTTCTTTAACCTAAACTATTTCCCCGTAAACAGTAGAGATATACTGTAATTGGATCTCACATCAAATTAATGCTTGTTGCTAGTGGGATAAATAATGCCTATTTGCTAAAGAAAAGGAAAGAAAATTATGGGGACCAATTAGCAATTTTGTAATGGGTTTTAATGTTTGGACTGTAAACACTAACAGAGTGTCGGCAGAGAGCGAATCCGTTTGTTAAAAAAAAAATGGTTGTTTCATATTTGTTTGTCTCCTTCTATACCCTTGGGACCAATGCAGCATCAAAAACTATGCCCACTTCTCAGAATTTCAATTTGGGTAATTGGAAAAATAATTTTATTTGGGGATGGATGAGAAATGGGAAAAAAAAATCAACATCAGACAGCTAATCTGTACTTTTTTTTTTTCTTTTGAGTTTTTGGAGAGTGGGAAACTAAAGGCAAGGAAGTATTCAAATCTGGAAATATACGTTAAAAAAATCTGGAAATATAATCATCACAGACGGCATATCTCTTTGTGTTCAAATATTTTTTTAAAAAAAATTCGAAGTTCAAATTTCGAAATATCTCTAGGTTAATTTTATTTCTAGGTGACGGGGAAAAAAACAAAGTGGATTTTCTCAGATTCCTGCATTTTCTCGGCAGCCAAACAGGGCAAAAGATTTGAAAAAAAAAAGTACGACTCACCAGGTAACCACGGAAAGCAGACTGAATCTTCACCGCCGCCACATACGCCTGTGCCCACCGCCGGTTACTCCCTCCGCCTCCACCGCTCCTCCCGGCGCTGGTTCCGAGAAATTTGACAGAATTTATTTGGGTAAATGACTAATAATATATATAATCACAAAAATTGGGTTTTCAGGGTAATTAATGCATTGGGATAGGAACTCCCAGTTCTTTACCACATACAGATTTTTTTATTGATGGCGTGCTTGTCGGCTTCCAAGCCGTCATCCGCCGACGGAGGCGGAGGCGCATCTCTCTTGCTCGAGTGAGAAGCCGGAGACGAGGATCTGGTGAAGCTCCACCTCCGCCGGTCCCTCGCTGGCGCCGATTTGTCCTGCTTCTTACTTCCGAAGAGTCGCTTGAAGAAGCCCATCGTTCATTGCCGGAAAACCGCCGGTGGTTATGGAAGTCTGTCGGTGGTTTCGGGCGGTGTGAGCAACATACGAGTTTCTCCCTCTGTTTTTTTGTTTTATTTGAAAACGAGCCTAAAAACTATGGGAACGGAGAATCTCAAGCTACGCGAGTGGTGGAGACGATATGCATATATAGGAGAAGCAAGATAGATTGCAGGGCACACCAACACGCGCCTTGTGTGAGAGCGTGGAGTACACGCGCGCCGTGTAGCTTTATTGACTCACGAGTCAACAAGTCAACGGTTCACACACAATATTGAAATGGATCTACCAAAACTTATTATCGGATTTATCAAAGTAATAAGAAGAGAAAAATAGAATCGTTACATTAATGGTTACATGATCTTAGCCAGAGGTTTTACACAAGTACATATAGAACTTGCGCTCTGTGTACATGGACCGGTCGTAAAAAAATTGACCCAAGAACAGCACAAGTGTACATGGACCGGTCGTAAATCCCTAACCCCACCGGTTCACGTGCACTCTGTACAGAGACGCATCGGCCCTAAAAGCATAACGCCAACAAAAAAAAAAAGGACAGGCTCAAGAACACGACCAGCCCCACTTTTTGTTTTAATTGTTATTGCTAATCATTTGTTTTAAGCCATGGCTTATAAGCATAGGGCATGTTGTTGGCATCAAAGGTCGATGGTAAAGAGCCTATTGTTTAAATATTCTTGGGACACGTTTACACACATATACGACTGAAGATATAATAACAGAGAAATGGCGCGAGGACATTTTTATAAAAAAAAAAAAACATTCCGAGAGATTCTCATAGCTCATAAGGATAAGGACAAGACATGTCTCCTAAGTAGCAATTCCTCTATGGCAAGAAAGAAAGAGCGACAAAATCATAAACCAAACGAGAAACGAAATGGCAGAATCTCAATAACAACCAACTCCCCAACCGACCTCTCAAGATCTCAAGTTAAGCAGCAGATTTCTTAGACTTGCTGCTGGCTGCCAATTGGGTTTCCGGCTGCAAAATTTCATTCACACACCCCAATGAGATTCCGGATCGATGGTTTTATTTAAATCCATGGCCACATGCTTTGAAATTCCATTTCGGTATTAAAAGTTTACCTCTTTCTTCACTGGCTCCTCCTTCTCGGAAAGGGTCAGCTCAATGTGGCACGGAGATGACATGTATGCTGCAATCAGATGAACAGGACGTCGTTAAGGAGCACACGCATTTCGCAAAAGAGAATAACGATAATTCATTCAGAGGGTTCCTCTAGGAGCATACGGTTGATTCTTCCGTGCGCACGGTAGGTCCTACGCCTCTGCTTCTGTGCCTGATTCACCTGGATGTGTGATATGTAGAGGGCATCTACATCCAAACCTTTCACCTGAAAAACACAATTGAGTCACCATGACGTGTGTGTGTGTATAATGCATGGAGATTTTTACTTAATTTCGATAAATTTTTGTGGTACCTCAGCATTGCTCTCAGCATTCTTGAGCAAGTCGAGGATGAACTTGGCAGATTTCATGGGCCAACGACCTTGACCATTGGAATGCCTGTTCTTTGCCTGAGCAGTTCTTCCAACACCACGGCAGAAGCGGGTGAAGGGGATAGCTTGCTTGTGGGCAATAACATCTTCCAAGTACCGTTTGGCCTTCACCAATGGAAGCTTTCTGATAGCATGGGCAGTTTCCCTCGTGTTCTGTTGCGACAAGACAGCCGAATAAAACAAGATTTAGAACCAGACATGGAAAACAAGACAAAACCCTTACGATCAGGATTCAGACAGGGACGCATCTTAATCAAAATCCTAGAGACTGACACCATTTAATGAACCCTTAATCATCACATGTATCAATGCGAGTGATCTTTACAAGATTAACAATGGCCACATTTGCACAGGGCAACATGCCCCCTGGTGCCTTTCGATCAGGATTCAGACAAGGATGCAGTTTAACCAAAACCCCAATTCCCAGCATCGAGAAGGAACTTATGCACGAACATCAGATAAGGTGAATTATCCTTTGTCCTCTATCGCAGATACATGATTTTACTTGGCCTATACGCATATCCTACTTCAATGACTTACCCTAACTGCATCTAGAGGAATAAGAAACTTGACACATATGTCTCAAAACACGAAGTTAACCACCGATGAATCTTGTTAATTCCCCTGAAACTACGAGACCTATCAACTAAATCTGCGACAGGGTCCTACCAAGTAGCGGAACAACATCATTGATACATTTCCAGCTTGCTAAAAGTTACCAAAAATTCTAGTGTTGAAGAAAACCAAATCAAGTAGGTTCCAGAATCGGAAACAGTAAAAACACGAATCAATACCTTGAAATGAACCCTGAGATCTGACCCCCTTGCCTTGCACGCTGCAAAATCGACAAAAAAAAACACAAAAGCTTAGCAGAAGATCAAACTCAAGTTACTCAACACGAGATCGGTAGATAGACAAACAAGAGAAAAAATACGACAAAATAGCAAAGAGGCATTACACTTGGTAGGATTGTCGGGCTCTCTCGAGTACTTCACCTGAAGTAGAAGAAACAAAAAAAAAAACCGTAAAACCACACGACATAAACACGTTAGAACCAGAAAATTGAGAAGAAAAAGAACCCAAAGAAGATGCACGAATGAGAATCGAAGGTCTAACCATGGCTGCCGGCTCTTCCTGTCGTTCCTCCGCTATAGCAGAAAGATGGAGTGCAAAGAGGGACAGCAAAAAGACTTGTAGGGTTTATATTGGAAGAGAGGGAATATAAAAAGAAACCCTAACTCTTCAATTGTCACAGCTATTCAGAATGGGCCTAACCCAATAATAGGCCCATTTGTACAGAAATTAAAGATGAATCTATCTGTGATCCATAATGGGCCTGACCCATTATAGGCCCATTTATACAAAAATTAAAGCTGGATCTCTCTGTGATTCTCCGCTGCAAAAAAAAAAAGGAAAATAAAATATAATGATGAAAACAGAGCATCTGTCTCTGAACACGAAAAACTCAGGAGATGACAACTCTCATGGAGATTTGTCGACCTGTTCCGTTCCGTACCAAACAGGACCCGTGTTTCCTTTTTTTCTGCAGCAACAGTTACCCGTTTATGCCGATGGGGAATGCGGTTTTTCAACGATGGCTGTGAATTTCAGAGAGCAGCACCAACAATGGCTGCCGTGATTACCAGAACCTCTGAAACCGCGCCGACATCTGCATGGGAGGCTTCTACTGCTCGAGTTCTCCGACGTCCTAGGAACTCAGTAACTGCAGTTTCCAGAATCTCAGGAGCAACGCCGCCATTAATGGTCGGAGGCTTTTTACTGCTCGAGTCATCCAATTACATTCCAACAAGGTATCAAGGCTTGGTTTGCGTGAGACGAAACAAATATAAAAAGATTGTAATTGATGGGAAATGCTCACCAAAATGATTGAGATAAATTAAAGATCAAAAATTAATCAACAAATAATAATAATTGTATCAATTATTTTTTGATGACAAGAAGAAAAAATACAGTATTAAAAGTATTTTTTGTTATTTTTTAAATTTTCGTATTTTATTTTTCAAGTTTTACTAAAAGTATGTGTGAGACTTTCATATCTGATTCCAACAAATATATCAGAAGATTTCGCATTTGTTTGTATTTATATTTCATTTATTTCCCATTGACTTAATTGGTATTTCGCATAGTTCACTATCCTTATATTGCATAATTATATATATATATATATATATATATTGTTTATTTTAATAAAAACAGAAGAGGCATTATCTGTACTTAAAACATGCAGACAAGGACACTAAGACAGCATTGGATAGGCAGGCAGCCTCTCTATGCTATGTGTGGATATATTTCCATAGATATATATTGTGATGAGACATAACAACAATCCCATGAGCTGTCACCCGTTTTGTTATTACTCTTTGTTTTCAAGTTATTAAAAAAAAAATCCCCCATTTTTTTTTTCTTCTACCAACAGTTGAGTTCTAGAGAGAGAAAATATTTAAAAATAAAAAATAAATTCATATTTTCCCTTCTCTCTTCGAGAGAAAGAAAGTATATTTACTTCCCTTGGCTCAGACGTTTCTTTATTCTTCGTCTCCTTCTCTCACGCCTTCGTCTTCAGAATCAAACTCCATTGAAATCTCTCTCTCTCTCTCTCTCTCTCTCTCTCTCTCTCTCTCTGTGAAGTGGATCTTTATAATATGCAACATCTCTCTGAATTGGGGGATTTTTATTAGACGCACGGATAGGAAAAAGAAGAGAGGAAAAGAATGATGAAAATGAGAACAGGTACAACCACGTCCGCCGGCGGAGGCCGCCATGACTGGGAGCTCCGGCCAGGAGGAATGGTTGTGCAGAGGCGGACCGATCAGAGCTCCGGCGAGTCTCCGGTGATTCGGGTTCGGGTCAAATACGGGTCGGTCTACCACGAGATCACCATCAGCTCTCAAGCCACCTTCGGTAATACAACGACATATATAAAAAATAAAGAATTTTTTTTCCACCAAAAAACTAGTTTTTTCGAATTGAATTGTGGAAATCAAGGCTAATTAGCAAAAGGGTCTTCGTTTTTTGTTCCGTCAGGAGAGTTGAAGAAGGCGCTGTCTGGTCGGACGGGGCTTCACCACCAGGACATGAAGATTCTGTACAAAGACAAAGAGAGAGACTCGAAGATGTTTCTGGATCATTCGGGCGTCAAAGATCGGTCAAAGCTGATTCTCCGAGAAGATCCGATCGCTCAGGAGAAGCGTCTCCTGGAGAAGAGGAAGAACGCCGCCATTGACAAAGCTTCAAAGTCAATCGCCGACATTAGCCTCGAAGTCGACAGACTCGCCGGACAGGTCCTCTGAAAAAAAATGTCTCCACTCCGTTTCTGCAAATTCTTGTTTCTTCAGAAAGCTCCGGAATCTGAATCTTTTTCCGGGTCAGGTATCGGCGTTCGAGACGGTGATTAACAAAGGAGGGAGAGTGGAGGAGAAGAGCTTGATGAACCTGATCGAAATGCTAATGAACCAATTGCTGAATCTGGACGCCATTACTGCAGATGGAGACGTGAAATTGAAGAGGAAAATGCAGGTACTTGTCAAGAAACTCACTCTCTTACTTTCGTTCGTGGGATTCGATTTCGCGTTCTGATTCGAATCGTTGTGATGGAAAGGTGAGAAGAATTCAGAAACACGTCGAGACGCTCGACGTGTTGAAGATCAAGAACTCGACTCCTGACGCTAAACCCGAGATCCAAACCCGAAACTTGGAACCCAAGAAACCAGACAGAAGCAAACGACAAGAACAAGAATCGTCAGATTCGTATATAGATCAACGCCAACACTATCCGCAACGGGATTTTGCCTCGTCCGGCCCCGTGGTCGTGACAACGAGATGGGAAACGTTCGATTCCATGGCTGCTACTACTTCGTCATCGGCCGCGCCGGATAAGTCGTCGGTCCATCCACGGTTCAAGTGGGAAATCTTCAATTAAACCATACATACATACATATATATATATATACCATACTATAATACTATATAAATATACTTCTTTATTACCGTTTTCTTCTGTATTCTCTCTGTTTTTTTTTTTCTGTATGATCTGTGTTTGGCTTTTATGATTCCCTCATCGAATATTTTTCACAAATAACAATGGATTCTCAGCAAATAGTGGCATCATAATTGTTATTCCTCAAATCATTTTTGGGTCATATTACAAATTTAAATAAATATACTTTCGGATAAGCAATCGCAATCTACGAGTTAAGGTGACAACATCTAAATCTTGTTGGGGGTGATGAACAAATAAATGTTCCGGAAACAAAAGGGAACAAGACAGAGCCAACGAATTTCCAAAGCTTTGATTAGATAAGAGATGTGGCATCTATACGAACAAAGCCATGTTGGGGGCACTGACAGACACATGCCCCAATCATGCATACGTTTGGTACGTTCCTTGTGGAAGTAGTAAGTCCTGGTGCTCCAACAGATGCCTCAAATCATATTCCTTGCTTCCCATTGAGGCTACAGAGAGAGAGAGAGAGAGAGAGAGAGAGAATCTTGGGGTTAGTCTCATAACCAAACCTCATCCAATGGCCGCATGAAATGAAATGACAAAAAGTCGGAAGAAAGTGCAAGAGCAAAAAATGATTATTCTCTCTTAACAAATCAAACAGACACTAAGTTTATATTAAAAGTTAAAACTGTATGGACTTTGGGATATGATTAGAACTTTATGGCACCCAATAAGATAAATATTAAATAAATTTCGGTGGTGTGATTGGGACTTTATAGCACCCAATGAGAACAACTCCTGAAGATTTGGTGGCTGTGAATATGCCCATGACACCTGTTTTGTTGTTCCAAGGGTAAATTGGGAATAAAAATTATAAGCCAAATATAGATGGAGTGAAAATCAAGGAGAATTCCACCAATTCATATTATTTTTCTCTATGATGGATTTATGAAGAAAAGGAAAAAATAAATAAATAAAGAGACAAGAGTTACATTAAACTACCTAATCTTGAAAACCAAATGAATTATACGAATTAGTGGGACCAAGAACAAGTCATGGTGGACCGGGCAAGCATATTATAAATAAATGCATTGAATTGGTTAGGAAAATGAATTATCAAAGACAGAACAAATTAATGCATGTTGGACCACCTCCACACACACAAGCATATTATAAAAGAAATTCGAATTATAATGTTGCAAAAATCGGACGAGCATTACAAAATGAAGTGAGAGCGATAATCATATTTATGATGCCTTATATTTCATGGGTACATTACATACATTATTGTCTAATGTGGTACCACTAGAGAAAGAAAGACAGATTTTGACATAAATAGAAAAAAAGGGTTATTCGAATGAACAAAACAACAGACCACTTGGCACGAACGGTCGTTTCCTCCGACGGCAACTCTCCGGCCAAACGCCGGCGAGAGAAAAAAAGAAGCATAAAGAGGAAGACCCGAAAAACCCGAAATTACCCCCCACGGAAGATGACACACCATGTGTATCTTCTTCTGTGAAAACACCGGATAAAGTCACCGGAAAAACTTCAAACCTGAGACAAACAAGAGACAGAGCCCGACACCGGAGAAAAGTCGCCGGAAAAACTCCAACCCTGAGACAGAGGGACAGAGATTCACTTGGATTTCTTGAGGAGGACGGCAGTACAGAAAACTGCGTCATCTCGGATGAAGCTCCACCAGAGGTAAGCCAGAGGGATCGCTGCGATTCTCCAGAGGAATTGAGCGTCGACGTAGCCGTAGAGTGGCGGGAAATCACACATCTTGAAGAACATAGAGACGATGCTCAAGACGAGGAATATCCATAGCTTCCACCTTGAAGGGTGAGCCGTCATGGCGGCCCATCCTCCCCACACTGTGAATTCTACAGCTCCCACCGTCAATACTGCTTTCATTTGTAGCCCTGTGAGGATTGAACAAGAAACCGTGCTGTGAAAAAATAAAATCCTTTCTTTGACAGATGCACGGGAATCATCCTTTCTATTTTGCCGGATCATAGTATTATCGTTACTGATGAGTATGCGTAAGAGGAAATGAGAAAGTAATGATAGAAGCATGAATGTACCACTATCAAGGTTGTAGAAGCTGAGGTACAAAACGTGGGTTGCCATAAGCGCGATGATAGGGGCAGCTACCATGACTTTTGCTGACTCATCGCGTATATTGAAGACTCGGATGATTGCAAAAATAAGCGAAACCCCGAGTAGGGCGGCAGCTGAGGAGTAATCTAGCCTCTCCGTCAACTCAACATCTCTAAAATTAACCAGAAAGAGATAGGAAACAACAATTCAGGAGAATCCAGAGTGAGAACAATGTAAACAGAGAGATTCGGTAAAACATGTCCAGGGTGGGTTGTCATATTAAGAATTTCAGTCTCTTTTTGTTAGAATTTGAAATCAGTTTCAGCTGGACAATCTTCTAGGTCTAGAAACGGGTGTTTTGGAAAGGAAATCTGAGACCAAAATATAGACAGATACAATTTCGTGACAATGGAAGAGAATTCGGAAACACTGTTACCTGCTGTGGCAGACAGCACTCCAGAAAAAAGCGTTCATTACAATGAGGGAATAGATGTGAAGTAATCCATTGTATTCGTAGTAAGTCTTCCTATCAGGTCGGAGGGGCAACTTGTAGTAGACGAGGATGCAATATGATACCCAGCCATGAAACTGTATTGCTAGTGCAAGAGCGCACAGAGCAACAGAAACAGGCTCCTGATGACATGAAGAACAATGATTTCAGAATGGAAAGAAAAGCCCCGCTTTGCGAGATTAATGGGTACTTTTGGCTTAAAGCAAGATTAATGGAAATGTAAAATTGCAAAACCTGGATTCCATAAACACGTTTGAGTGGCCATCTATTATGGTACTTGACAGGCTTCTCTCCATGTTTCTTTCTCTCTTCCTCTCTAGACATCATGCATTCATACTGGCAATCACTTTGGCAATCCCATTGTTTCCATTGCAGATAAAGTGGTTCTTGCATGTACCATGGTCCGTCAATGGGTTTCCCGTCAGCCGAAAATTTACAGTGCAGGAAGCATTTGTCACCTACACACCCAGTTTTCTGACAATGCTCAACACAGTCCCTGTAAAACATTACCAATTAACACAGTCTGAGGAGGGTCAAACCATACAAAACCATGAAATAAACCATCTTTTGCACAAGAAGAAAGAGCTTAACAACAGAACACCTAATCCAACTCTTTCCCGATCTTGATTCCAACATCACTTTGGCAGATTATTAAGTCATTCGGCATCTTCCCATTATTGATCCTACATGCTCCAGTATCCACTTTCCGAAGCACTCCTCTTCTTCCCCCCCCCCACCCCC